TGTGGATAAATGCATTGAACAAGTTGGGCCCGAGAATGTTGTTCAAATTGTAACGAACAATGCTTCAAACAACATGGGAGCGGCAAAATTATTGCGCACGAAGAGGCCAACTATCTTTTGGACTTCATGTGCTGCACACACCATGAATCTCATCTTGGAGGGCATTGCAAAACTACCCCGGTTCAACAAAACAATTGAACAAGCAAAGGCATTGACCATATTTATATATGCGCATCATAAAACCTTAGCAATGATGAGGTCTTACACTAAAAGAAGAGACATAGTAAGACCCGGGGTCACACGATTTGCCTCTTCTTTTCTTAGCTTGCAAAGCTTGACGGAAAAGAAGACACAATTAAAGGCGATGTTTTCTAGCTCAGAGTGAGATGAGTGCAAATGGTCCAAGACGGTCAAGGGGAAAGCAAGCTACAACACCGTGATGTCTATTGGTTTTTGGAATGGTGTGAGATCTTTTTTTACTATTTTTGGTCCTTTGGTGAAGGTTCTTCGTATAGCGGATGCCGATAGAAAGCCGTCGATGGGTTTTTTGCATGGGGAGCTTATGCATGCCAAAGAGGATATAAAAATTGTCTCGAACAATCTTGCCAAGAACTATGAACCCATCTTAGATATCATTGACACGAAGATGATCGGTAGATTAGACACTCCGTTGCACTTGATGGCATATCTACTAAATCCTTATTATCATTATAAGGACCCGAATCTCATACTAGATCAAGTTGTTTCGGATGGAGTTCTTGATTGTCTTGATGTCATTAATTGCCATGGTGACTTTGATTTGATGAATAAAATCGTGAACATTGAGTTGCCAATTTATAAGACAAGGGGAGGAGTCTTCGGGAAGCCAATTGCCGCCAAAGGTTGTGAAGTGAACGACGAAAAGTTTGATCCGGATAAATAATAATTTCTTTTTTATTTTTATTTTTGTCTTTCCTCTTATGTGATAATTGATATGTCTTGGAAAATTATATTTATGTTTTATGAGTAGTCTTAAACTTTTCTATAAAGTGTAAATGACTATAGAATGATTTTGTTTTCATATTAATTCTGTCTTTTTTTTTTTCATGCATAGCTATTTGGTGGTTAAATTATGGGTATGGAACGCCGAATTTGCAAAGAATTGCCATAAGAATCTTGTCATTAACCACAAGCTCGTCCGGGTGCGAAAGGAATTGGAGTACATTCAAAGGGGTTAGTTGGATTTATTATGTTTAAATTATTTTGTTAATTTTTGCATATTACATAATGTTGTTTTATATGCTCTTCAGATACATACGAAAAAAAAGGAATCGGCTAGATGTTTTGCGCTTGAACAATCTAGTTTATGTCCAATTAAATTCACGTTTATTGAACAAACGCAAATGAGGGAATAAAAAAGATGTGTTACTTGCTAGTGAGGCAAGTAAAGAGTGGATTATTCTGGGATTAGTAGACGATGAAGATGAGGGGGTTGATGCACTTGAAGTTGAGGTATGACACATCAAGAGTGAGAGAGTTTGAGGAAGAGGATTTTGATCCGAGGAAGAGGAACAAGTTAATGAGAATGATATTGACTTTGAGTCGGATGAAGAACGTGTATTGGAGAATTATGGGAAAGAAGAAGAAGACCCTTTTGTGCTAGGCAATATTTCTTAGTTCTTATAAGTATTTTGGATTTCGGCCATGTGGGCTATTTTGAGACTTGGATTTTGTTTTGACTTTTGAGGTTGTTTTGGACTTGGAGTTTATTTTGAGACTGTGGTTATGTGTTTAGTAGTTTTAATATAGTTATTTTATTTGGACTTGGAGTTGATTTTGAGTTTGTTTTGGACTTAGNTTTTTTCGAAACGATAGGCATCTCATAAAACTAGAAAATCTAATACAATGTTCGAATACAATAATAACTACAAACAGCATGAAATGGGAGACCCCCAAGCGGGGTCTAAGAACCAAATAAAAGCATAGGCCGCACATAGCTGAAGTCCTACACTAATACAGACCAATCACAAACAAATGTAGATGAAAAAGTGTCTAAACAGACCTAGATCATCTTAAACAATCCTGCACACAATGGCTATATAGCAACAAATTCCTGCAATTCCCTGATAGCTTGTATAACAAGACACAGCTCAGGGAGTCTTTGCTGTTGGAATACCCATAGGTTGCGGAATTTCCACAACTACCAAAGCAGATAGGTGGTTAGTTGTATCCTATTTTCATCAATCGCTTTTGAGCTCAGAGAACACATAGACACCACCAATTTGAAAATGAAGCATCTGATAAAGAGAAACAATCCCAACTGATAGGAGCAATTTGCCAAACCTTCTGAGCCTTATTGCACTGCCAAAGCACATGAGTAACTGTTTCTACCTCCTCTCCACAAACCAGGCAAATAGGGTCAATATCAAGTCCCCTACTACACAACTTACTGCCAACTGGTAATGTCCCATTTATGCACTTTCAAATGAAGTGTTTGATCTTCCCCTTGATTTTCAATTTCCATGTTCTGGCCCTAACTTTCATGTCTCTCAAACTTGAAAAGCTGCTTTCAGGTCTGTCCAACATGGAAAGTTTTGTCTTAATGAGTGATGGTAAGCTGTGGAAACAGAAAACTGACATTTGTTAGCTCCAAGCCATTTCCAACCATCCTCCATATGAGGCTGCAAGTTGTTGATATTAGAAATGGCCTCAGCTGTTGCTCCATCAAATAGTTGATGTAAGAGTTCATTATTCCAGCTTTGCCCATCACTCTGCAGCAGGTCAGTAACCAGATTACATGAAGTTTGAACCCCTGATTTGAGTTTGAGTCTCTGCTTTTCCAAGGTGTGAACCCAAGGGTATCCCAGAATGGTTGTGTTCCTACCACTGTTCAGTTGGACTTGAATTAGAAGGGATTTTGCTTTAAGATTGTGCTTATGTACGTAGTTATGTACTTAGTAGTGGTTATGTACTTATTTTGACTTGGAGTTCGTTTTGAAAATTGCAGTAGCTACAATCTTCTGGTCATGTGGGTTGTTAATTGCTATCATGTTTTCATTATAATTCTATTTCATTATAATTCTATATTTATAATATTATTGGGACATATGTATGGATTTATTAATTATAAATTGTAATTTCATTAGTGAAATTGTGAAAATAAAAAAAAATATATTTATTATGATTTCTAGGCTCCGCCTAGGCGCTCTAGGCGCTAGGCGCTGGTTGAGCGCCTAGCGGGCGCCTAGCGACTTTTAGAACACTGATTTTAATTACAAAAATACTCCATTCGTGTATTAATTATGAAAATCTATATATATTGAAAGAGGATGGTCAATAAATCATTTGTGGAAACTTCATAAAAAAATTGAGTCAACCAATTTGACTTACTACGTATGGAAATTTTTTAAAAAAATCCGATTGGTTAGATTTGGTTAGATTTTTTCGTTTTTGTTTTTTTATTATTAATATATATGCAAAATCATTCCATATTTTGCGAAAAATGTGTTCACGTGTTAACGCGTTTTCAAGCATGATAATATTGTGTGAAAATTTTAATATACATCTTATCTCAAACTTATAGCAACATTCCTTATTTAATGCAATATAAAGTTTGTTCACGCGAATTTGAAATAGATTCAATATCACATATCTATTTATCTGATTTATTGTGGTAATTTAATTTAAATAAATAGATGGGCCCACATATTTTATAACACGCAATTATTAAATTTTATATAATGGATAACTTAAAGTGTGGAATAATTTAATACAATGGAATAATTATCCCACGCTATAAAATATTTAAAGCGTGGAATATTAAATTTATCATGATTTGCCATTACTCCAATTTTCTTATGTTAGTTTAAAGTGTGGAATAAATAACTTCCATATATCATGCATTAATACCTATTACGGCATTTTTTATTAAGAGAATCAAAATATTTGTTAGGAAAAATTCAATCCCATATTTTTCAGATTTTAGATTTACACTTATCCAAGAGATTCCAATTATTTTCTAAGAACAAAGAAATATATATATCTAATTTGAAAGATTCACTATTATCTTATCCCAAAATAATTCGAACCGAATGGAAAGATCACAAATAATTTACTACATCTATATAAGTAGTCAATTACACAAATCATCAACCACATCTCTTTAGCATTTTTTTTTTCAATCTCTAATATGGGCTTAAATAATTGAAGTGTTGGAGCTAATTTGGGTTGGATATATTTGATTCCCAAATTTTAATATATTTGGATTGATTTTAATGGGCCCATTTTAGTTAAAAAAATGGGTCGGCTCATTAATGTAAATGGGCAACATCATTGTTTTTTTGTAATAAGAATTGGGCTGCATTATTTGTATTATTGGGTTGATTTTTTTGGAACAATTGTGTATTTATTTATTTGGTTCGATATTTTATTTAATTGTGCTGCTTTACAATATTTATATATATTGCATAATATGCTATCCATTATATGATTTTTATTTTTTTAATACTATAAAATAAAATGTGTTGTTTTTTATACAAGTTATATTTTCATTCTTAATTAGTATTTGTTTAATTAATGTGATAAATGTTGTTAGTTTGTTGTTTTTATTAACTTAATGTTCTTAATTTTGTAATTTTTTTGCATATTGTTTTTCTAAATTGATTTGAAATAATCTTGCAATATTGTTATTTGGACCTTACTTATATAGCTACTATGAATTTTGATTTTTGTACTAGATCAACTGTTAGTAAACGACAAATGACAATTAGATCGAACACTTCATTAAATGCCCTTCAAATGCCCTTCACCGATATTAATCTATGGTGACAATGACCCGCCACCAAATCAAATAAAAAAAAATATGTACTATTAAATAATTTATAAATTTTTTAATTTGACTGACTCATTTACATTTATTACATATGTCATCAAATTTAATATTCAATATTAAAATATTTTTAGAATAATATATCATCATGATTGCACGGCGGCGACTAGTATAGGATACAAATAAGGTACAACATACATGCTGTTTATTGAGATCCAGACAGAAGCGACCCTGTGGGACACCTGGTTTCGTGTAAAACTATCAATTGCGTATCAGTTATATTCTAAGTTCACCGCAACAACACTGCTGAAACCCCTGATGAATGGCTCCCAAAGTTCTGATGGTAAAGATTTTCTTTGCGAGCTGTGCATCAACTTTCAGTGATGACTGCTTTTTCGTAAGTCACTCTTTTTCTATGGTCTGTTAACATAAATAACTCTTGGGATTAGGTCGCGGAGAAACCAAGCATTGCTCTCGCAATTGCTTCAGTTCTTTCTGGTGGTCGGGTAAGCTTTTCATTCTTCCTCTTCACTGTAATATGGATTTATGGAGTTCATTTTTTTTTCCGAGAACGAGCAGAAAGACGAGAATGCTTTTTTTTTTTTTTTCGTTATTATTTTCGTGACTACGGCCCTGGTAATTATTCTGTTTTCTCTGCATAATGAGAGAAAATAAGCAAATGGTGTATGGTATTAGTCATTCCTTAACACTTTTTTCTGTCTAGGAACATATAAATTGACTAAATAGGAGAACATCCCGAGTTTATACTTGGGTGGCATTCACTTTTTTTGTTTGTTTGTTGATTATCATGGCTGTATAATATTTCACCTTTGATGCGCAACAACGTTGATGTGTTTAAGAATTTGGGGTATGCTTGTTGTTCTCATGGGCACTGATTGGAATTGCAGGTACTTCTGTCATGTAGACACCTCTAAACTTTCTTCTGTAATTAAGAAAAATAAAAACGTGTAACTACCTATGTGAAAAGTTGGAAAGACATCTTAGTTGTGAAATGGGGTAGATGGTAGGACCTTGGACCATCAACCTTTCTAGCATCTTGGTTGAAAAGAGAAAGTATGAAGTGCACTACATCAACCTAATGAATCTCAGATATTTGTTTTGGGCACATCTTAGGATAGGATTGTTGGAAGGTTTGACTATGCAGTTTTTTTGTTTATAAAACTACGAAATTTGCACTTTTCATGTCGATTTTCATTTGGAGGATGGATTCGGAATAATTGGCTTATTGCAGCTATTGTTCTTTTTCTTCTTTTTGGTTACAATTTGGTTCGTTGGTATATGTAACGGATTCTAATAATGCATACCTGTCTTATTTCCTGTGGGATATACTTGTATCTTACCTAAATATATTTTCTTTTGTAGAGGTTCTGTTGCGATCTCAATTTTCTTATTTTCTGTCCTTTTCTCTGCCATGCTTACGAGTTCATTGAACTTACATATGAGTTCATTATGTGGCTTACTTTATTACGTTGTATGAATTGGAATATCTTATTTTATTTCAGATGTCGACCCGGAGAGGGAGCACGGAGATCCATGAATTTGATGGGACGTTCATGGGGTTTTCCGTGCATTATAAAGTGACATCAGTGATTGGCCATGTTTTTAGGTTTCTGATTCCTTCGGCTTAAAACTTATCCTTTGGATGTACTTTGCTATCATTTTTTTTAATATTTTCTAAAATTTATTATCTATTTAAAGGATGTTCTTGTTTGCACATTCTGCTGTGGTAACTTGATTAATGAACTTAAACAATACTCTTCTTCTAGTTGCTTCCACTGCTAATGGCAGTGAAAATTAGCTTTAAGTTTTTTTTATTAAGAATCTATTACTTGGGATTATTGGATAATCCAATTCATTACTTGTTAAGTATGTAAGTCTTCACAGTTCACACCAAATGAATTTTTCAACACAATTTCTCTGCAGGACCTGCTTTCAACGGTCTGTTTATACCTCAATTACTCTATGCTTGTTCTCTGTATAGTGAGGATCTGATTGACTCTATAGGATATATATTTGATTCTATAGTCCGAGTAATCCACAAGCGTAATATATTTCTCCTTTGCTTGTACCTCTTATTTCCTAATGCATAATCTTTGTTGTAAATGGATGACCCTATCACTGATTGACCAGGACTCGAATGCTGACTGGCAACGGATGAAATGATATATCTGACCCCTGAATGAATTTTGTCATAAAGTTAATTCTAACCATATAACCGAGGGTACAGATTGAGTGTCTTGCATAGTAACTGTAGCCAAATCACATCAGTTGAGCTTATTGTAAAATTTATATATATGATTTTTTTAATTCTTCCTTAACTTTTTTGCCCCAGTCATTGTGTGTGATTTGTGACTCAAGTGGCATTCTTGTTATTTCATCTCATCTAGGAATCTTTTGATTTGAATAGGTAATTTATCATCATGTGAAAGTGTGCTTATCATATTTGAACTAAATATGTAGTAGTGAGGGTATATACTCTTGTGACATATATAGAGTGCTCTAAAATTTTCCGGATTCAAAATTTGACTGCCAAATTATGTATATTTGTAAGTTCAGTGTAGATTTTCCACCACGCTATCAAGATTGGAGTTCTACAAATCCTCTGGATCTCTTTGATGCACCAATTGTTAAAACAGAAACAACACCAAAGGTGAATGTTCTCATCCTTTCTGGTAGCTGATCTTGGTTTCTTGTTTCAATTGTTATGCAATACGAACTTAGGACCAATTAATATATGTCTTGACAAATTTAAAATGCACTCTGTAAGCTCTGTAGTTCATATTGAACGAAACTTTAATGTATTTAAGGGAATGTTGAACTTCGTTCGTTTTAGTTTCCCCTATCTTTCTCTTTTATGATTCATGAAGCAGTACAATACTCACAACTCTTAATAACTGAGTAAAAGTTTTGAAGGTTTTAAGACGATTTTGACATTTATTCAGTTCTCATCCATATTTGCTTTGATATATGAGGTAGTAGAATGCTCATTACTCATTTTTGCCATAATTGTATGCTCCATATATTTTGACTCATTTACGTGAACAATTCTATGTACAAAGTTTTCCTGCATTAAATTCATTTATCAAGTAAAATACAGTATCTTTTTTCATTTATTTGACTTTTGGATCATGAAGTGAAGCTCAATTAAAGAGTACGAAACACACGGAAAATTAAGATAACCATCTGAAACTTTATATTTCAGAGGCTTCATCTGCATCTCAGTTTTAGAACATGTTAATATTAGGTTGGCTTTGTGTCTCCTATTTGAATTCCTGTAATTTCCTTGTCAACACATGGGAACAATAAAAAATGACATGTAAGTTCATGTTTAGAGGTACGCTGAGACCTACTCTGATCTAATACCATATTTATCTCAGAATAAAATTATTAAAGGTACTGAGAGTGATATAAAATTGAGCAAAACTCACATACCAATATATAGAAAAGCAAATGTTCTGCTACCCAAGAGCTGTCTTTATTCCAACTCAATCCATTCTGATTTGGATTTTTTCTCAACAATATATTTAATGCTTTAAGGAATGCATTCCGTCAACAGTCCTAAAATCCGATCTCATTGATTTTCTTTGTTTTTTTACACACCAAAGTGAATATAACTCGGTCACCACCAGAATTATGGAGACTCGATCTTTTTTATTTTGGGTTTATAACAAATTGCAAAATCCTGTATGGTTTCCACTTGATATACACATTATGGAAGTTTAAGATTGTACCAAGTTTGGTCTTATTAGTAAATATTAAAATCATCTAGTCCATAATATATCGTGTCAGATATTGCTTTGTCATATCAAATATGTGATTAAGTTTTTTAATTTTTGACACATCCATATTATCTCATTTCCATTTTCTTTCCGGGGCAACATTTTAACATGCTCTTTGAAAAGGCTCACATTTGTAGGCATTTAAGCCAAGAAGCTCGTGGTTGTGGACACTTAATACTGTGGTTGGATTGTGATCGAGAAGGAGAAAACATATGTTTTGAAGGTACTTTTCTTTAGTTAGTAGCTCATATTGCCATTTCAACTTCAGCAAAATAGTTTTGTTGGGTTCTGGGTTTATAGATGGGCTTTAATTGCTTTACGTGATTATTCAATTCAACCAAGATGTGCTTGTGCATTGTCTTGTGAACTATATGCTCGCCATCTAGATTAGTAGTGATTTACTAGAAATTTTGGGCCATATCTGGACAAGAGATGATGAAGTGAATAGAGATGCTATGTATTGACACTATTAAAATAGGGAAAAAGTGTTCTGCTGTCATGTGATTAATTATACATGCAAGAGTGATGAACTTGTGTTCTCTTGTTCTATGTTGTAGTCTGAAGAGAAGGCTAATCATACGAATGATAAATGTCTGACAGTAAAGCGCTAGTGGAGAGACACCTATGTAGGTCAAAACAATGTTGGATGTACTGCATGTGCATAAATGAGAACAAGAAAAACAAATGCACGAGTGGTATCTAAATACATTAAATGTGGAAAAAGATTGTTATTTTCATAAATAAGATGAGAGGCATGAAACGGATTAAACTATCATATTAAGCTGTTTTTAAACTGTATTATTTCTATTTGGTTTTTGTTAGTTGTTGGAGCTGACATTGAAATTTGAAATGTAGTGTATGTTTTGTATGGTTGGCCATCTCACGTCTGTCTTTTATCTTATAGAACTCAATATGAGATAATTTTCAATTTGATGAGGTTCCCTTGTTCTAAAGCTAACACTTTTTATATATTTTTTGGTGCATGGTGATATGTGCATGATAGTTTTGAACTTTTGCTAAAGAAAAATTTACTGTTCTTTGAGTCCTGAGCTGGTACTTTTCTGTAAAGTGCTGTCTTCTCAAAATCAAGTATTTTTTTTTCTTTGTCAAGTTATCGAGTGCACTGGTTTCGATTCCAAAGATGGCAAGAAAATTTATCGTGCTCGATTTTCATCTGTGACTGAGAAGGATATATTGAAAGCCATGAGTAGCCTTGTCGAACCCAACAAAAATGAGGCACTGGCCGTGGATGCCCGCCAAGAGATAGATTTGAAAGTTGGAGTTGCTTTCACAAGGTTCCAAACAAGCTATTTCAATGGAAAATATGGAAACCTTGATTCAAGAGTTATCTCGTGAGTCTCTCCTGTCTAACCATCTTTTTCTATCCTGTTCCCGTTACAGTTTAACTAGGTCTTTTACTTTTTGCAGTAGCTTTTTTCTGTTGTTTGGTAATCTCTTAGTTCATGTTGACATAGAAACTACTATTCGGAAGGTCTGAAATCACTAGAAACGTTTAAAGCTTGTGCTGAAATTGGGCCTAGTAGCCTAAAAATTGTGAATCAACATCCAGAAGTTGAGCTTTCATACATGGGAAGGTATGGATTGGGCCCTCCATTTGCCTGTGAATTTTACAGAGAATATCATAATAGAAAGTGTGATTGGAATATCATAGTAGAAAGTGTGAATGGAGATGGGAACATAAAGTGGAAGAGGCTTCCTAATATGTCATTTTTTAATTATAGTTTGAACTATGGGTCTCCTTTTTAAACTTTCACCTCACTCACCTGGGGCCAGGCATGGATATTTTTCATAGTGGCTAATGAACATTTTCATGTAATAGTTTAGGGTTTGAAGCCTTACAGATAAGAGATTTGAGTTAAGGGTACGACTGAGATGGGAATGCTATCAATGCTGAGATGAAGGAATAATAAGTCAATGTATCCAAGCTAATGAATGTTTCTTTTTTTTTTCCAAAATAAATAGATAAAGTCCGTGTGGACCTGCCAGGTTTGGAAGAACGAGATGGATTTTGTTCGTTTCTAACATATGTTTGACTTGATTCAGTTTGTTCAAATTTCGAAAATATCAGGTCCACATTTGAATTTTTTGTGAAGCCAGCCTTTTGAAAAACACACTTGTGTTTCCTGTTAATTATTTCTGCACTAATGCCAAACAAAAGATGCGTAGTTTGTATACATATAGATGTATGCATGTATAATATATGTACTGGGGGGATATATTGGGGTGGTGGTTGGTGAATCTGTCCCATGATTATAACCATTCTAGAAGAACTCCATTTCCTTTCTATTTGTTATACGATCATTATCACTTCTTTTGTTCTGAAACTTATTTTTCCAAAACCAATATTGGGGTTAAAATATTCCGGAATCTTATTTCTCTAAAGAAGTCATTATGCATTCTTGATTAAGTTTCTGTAGCATAATGGAACTGCATATGATCCCTGGGTAGGACAAATTGGGAAAGATAAAAAGATACGATTGGTGAAACTCATATCAATGGGGTCCATCTTCACTTCCAGCACACCAGTCCATAGAAATTCTAAAGTTAAACGTGTTTGCTATGGAGCTACATGGAATGGGTGACCCCTAGAAAATTTTGCAGGAAGTGTGTGAGTGAGGACAAAGCGCACTGGAAAGTCTCGTGTTAATATATGGCATGTTAGGACCAGCTTCATTTTAAATTATCTATCAGTTTAGCTATTTTGATACTCAAGTTTCAGACATTTATTGGTGGACATTTGTAAAAGCAGCTATACTCTTATGGTCTTGCTTATGTAGTTACTTCTATAACCATTTAATTCTAATTTCAGCTACGGGCCATGTCAAACTCCAACCCTTGGATTTTGTTTGCAAAGACACCTAACAATTACTACTTTTAAGCCAGAAAAGTTTTGGGTGTTGCATCCTTATGCACTACACAGAGGTTATGATCTCAAATTAGAATGGGACCGCCAGAGGTTATTTGATTTAGATGTAAGGTCCTTGAGCTTTACTTGATATAATATACATCATATCAGATGCTTAATTCCAGCTAGTTTTATGGCTGCAGGTTACCCAGATGTTCAGAAACTTTGTAAAAGATGATGGAGTTCTGAAAGTTACTGGTATATCAGAAAAGCAGGAGGTAAAAGGTCGCCCCTCTGGTCTCAACACTGTGAATCTTCTAAAGGTCAGAACACACTAAATGTCCTTTTACATTTCTTATTGTTGCGAAAATTTGTACATAATGTTAGGACTAAGGTGCGATTTGATATTTTTTCATTTGATATATATTTATTTTTTGGTTGGAGAAAGAAGACTTAATGGAAGAACTAATGATTTTATAATTCTAAGTGGCACGATATAGATTAATATTCAATTGTGTTGTGATAGGAAAATAGTAAAATAATGATTGATAAGTCATAAAATCTAAGTGAAGGAATAGTGTATAGATTAATATATAATAATGTTTGATTTTTAATTTAAAGTTGTATTGGGAAAACTGAGGAGAGGAAAAGAGTGAAAAAGGAAAGAGAAAGATGAACAGTGCATTTTTTTATGGATAGATGATTTTTTTGCTAACCTCTAATAGATCTTGGTTAATAATTTCTTCCTCATGTGACCCTTTTCTACGGTTGCAAGTCTCTGTTAATATATGGATTTATACATTCACTGTGTATGTCTTGACTAATTCAGGTTGCATCAAGTGCTTTGGGGTTTGGGCCCCAGTTGGCTATGCAATTGGCCGAGCGTTTGTATACACAAGGTTTCATCAGGTTCTTAGTTGATCATTTTGTCTCTGCTTGAAGTATGTCTTTATCAATGCATCTGTTTCAAGGATATCTCAAGTACTGGGAAATGAAAGTTGACCATGATTTTCTCTTTTCTTTCAGTGTTTGAATTTTCAGTTGTAATTATTTATGAAGACGACATTTTGATTGCGTTGCTGTCTCGAGTCTCAGCAATGATGGGGAATCAATTGTTGACATAGTTTGCAGAAAAACAGAAAATTGAATAAAATTCGAACCGTCTAGAATTGTTTTTTTTTTTTCTGACATTTTGAAATTTCTCTCTTGAACCTATATCAAAATTTAGTTAATACTTGGCAATGCGATTCCTCAGCTTCACATATCTTAGCCAGTTAAAAAAATTAACGTTTTATAGACATTTTTCTGCCCTGGTCTTTAGAATAGCAGCATGATGTCAGGCAGAGAGATTGTCATGAATCTTTTGCCAGTATAGCTTTGTCCATATTCATTCTTTTTCTTTTTTTTTTTCCGCTTCTCTAGTTATCCCCGAACAGAAAGCACTGCATACCCATCTTCATTTGACTACAAAGGCACTCTTGGAGCATTAGTCCACAATCCAATGTGGGGTGATTATGCACAGCAGCTTCTGTCTAGTGGTTTTCATACACCACGATCAGGAAATGATGCAGGTGATCATCCTCCAATTACTCCAATGAGTTCAGCTACTGAGCACACTCTTGGGAATGATGCATGGAAGCTCTACCAATACATTTGTCAACATTTTCTGGGAACTCTTTCTTCAGATTGTAGATACACGAGGTTTAAGCACTAATGTTCCTATTACATCCTTCACATGCATTGTTTTAAATTTTAATGACTGTTACACCCTTATTTGATGCCAAGTTTTTTCAGATTGGGTTTTTTTTGCTATATTTCTTTAATTGCACAAGACATTGATGGTTTGCTGAGGGATTTAACCATTTGGAATTAATAAAACTTCAGCTAAATAGGTTTTGCTTACTTTACCAGCCATATTTGATATTTCACTTGCATTTATCTCACAGTTACTTGGGGAAAAAGGTTGTTATTATTTTGGATGCCGTCCAGATGTCTAGGCCAGCATGCATAAGAGACATTATGGCTGATCATTGTTTATATTGTTGAGGCACTATCCAATATGGCCTTCAAGTATAAGGTCCTGTGGACAACTTTGTCAACTTATATGGCAAAAATTGATTGCTTGTTTGCGTACGCTTGAGTTTTCTCTACTGCAGTCGTTTAACGGAATTATGACCATCGATGGTGAATTAAGTCCTTTTGAAGGTTTTGAAGGAACTTGATCATTCATTACCACAGGACGGGTGGCAATCTTAGAATTGATTTCCTTACAAAAAAAATGATTGTTTTGGCTTCTAGCAGGCTTTTCTGGTTCAGATAGGATTGATCTGTGATTTATTTTAATCTTTAGGGTAAAGACTGAATTTGAATCTGGTGGAGAACTATTCCACTGTGTTGGGCAGCGTGTCATGGTCAAAGGATTCACGTCCATTATGCCATGGTTGGCAGTAACTGAGATAAATATACCTCAGTTTACTGAAGGGGAGAAAATTCAAATATCAAGAATTGAAGTAGATGAGGTAAGAGATCCTTGCTTCAAAAGGCTAGCTGGTCGTGTGTTTATGTTTGCACTCTTTGTTTTGGTCAGCACTAAAACATGGGATTCTTTTTATTTTCATGTCACTAAATATACTCATACGTTATACATAATTTTATGACAAGATCATTGGTATTCTCAATGATTTATGCTGGAAAGTGGAAACAGTATGTGGTTCCTAGGTTTTGAGTGTGGCCAGCTGACCCATGGATCTTATAACAAGTATTGCCATGAACAAAAATTGTTGACATGCGTGAATTTATATGGTATGGTATGGATTTCTTTGAATATGTAGGGATGTTCGGTTGTTAAATCAAAACACTAGGCACTCTCAGGTATATGCCTCATTTTTCTCATCACATGCGCATGCAACTAGCCTAGATAGCAAAATTGTCACTATTCTTGCCTAGTAACAATGACATTCCAGGGGACTACACGACCTCCAGATTACCTCACTGAGAGTGAGCTTATCTCGTTGATGGAAAAGAATGGAATAGGAACAGATGCATCCATTCCAGTACATATCAACAACATATGCGAACGGAATTACGTACAGGTTGGTCATACTTCGATAGAATTTATTTGCGAGCTTGAATATTTTAAATTACTGAGATAAATTTGATGCTCTATTTCAAATTGCAGGTGCAAACTGGTAGAAGATTGGTTCCCACTGCGTTAGGTGTCAGCCTAATAAGAGGCTACCAAGTTATTGACCCTGATCTCTGTTTGCCTGACATTCGGAGTTTCATCGAGCAACAAATTAGCCTTGTGGCGAAGGGTCAAGCAGATCATGGGTTTGTTGTGAAGCATGTGATAGAGCAATTCAGAAGGAAGTTTAGTTACTTCGTGAAGCAGGTAACAAAAACAGTTATTTGTTTATTTGCCGAGGGAACCTTTTGTGGTCCTTTTCTTTTGATCTGGGCATGGGAAGGTTGCTAGAAGTTTGATCTGTTTCAACATATAAGTTAATCCTACTGTTCGTCATAGCTTGATCTGCTTATTGTTGGTGTTCTTTGCACAACTCTACAGCCAGGTGTTTATGCTTCTTGGGGTTTTGTCTGTGAAATATTTTTGGCAGGTTAATAATTTTATTATAAATGTCTTGCTCGAGTCTGACACTTGGTCGATTTAGGAATAATTGTCATTCGGAGCTTTATATTTAAGGGGTATTTACGCATGTCTCTATTATCATCTCCGGGTAGTCCCTTTGTTAAAGCATCTTGTGAAAACAGATCCAATAGAATATCTACTTTACAAGGACCCAAAGGTGTGAACATTTCAGTTTGTTGAGATTCATATACTTTACTCTATCCACTTCTCCCCAACTCATTAAGGAAAAGTATGTGGTTTGCATGAGCACTATTGATTATCACCTTTCTAAATTGCTCATCTTTCTTTCCGGGTGAAAAGAGATGATTATAGTGCTTCCAATAAAATTGGCCTGCAGTAATTCCAATTTTCTGCAAACATTGCCCCCGTCTCTATCTGTGCACATGAAACAAAGTTTTTGCTTAGTTATCAAAAATGCAATTGAAAAAAAAAAAAAAAGAAATTTGCAAGAGAAGCAAGTGAAATGGTTGGAATACTATTTATGTAATTAGTTCAGTGTTGTGGTTTCACTCAAAGTGGAGTCATGCTGCTCCTGAATGGATGCTTCCTGTTTAATGTAGATTGAAAAGATGGACGCACTATTCGAAGCAGAATTTTCTCCGCTTGCAAATTCCGGACGTGTACTTAGCAAATGTGGAAAATGTTTACGGTACATGAAGCACATATCTTACCAACCATCACGCTTATATTGCGGTACATGCGAAGAAATTTATTATACTCCTCCAAACGGTACAATCAAGGTAATCAATCTCCTGGAATATTTTCTACTCCCTCCTGACCACACTGTAACGCGCCGTTGATTTTTAAAAGAAAAATTTCGGACTTTTCCAAAAATCATTGTTTAAATTTTTGAAATTCGTTTTTCGTTTTAAAACATTTAACGGCGTTACTCATTCATCATCATATACAGCTCAAGTCATATTAGAGCATACGGGAATTCATTACCCAAATATTCTCATAGGATCTCATTATCCAAATCATCATAAACATTTCAAGTCATATTATTATCTAGTTCATAATCAATTCATCCTATTGATATAAACCTAACATAATCATCATGTTCATCATCTTATGATGTCAAAACCAATCATCAGGTTCATAATATGTGTTAGTTTTGAGAAGTTGCACAATAATTAAGAATCTTTTTTTTTTTCCAATAATTACCCTCTTTCATGAAAATTAATAACACGAAAATTAAGAGTGGATACAAAAAGCTGTATCGTATTTATTAGCTAAATGAGAGTAATAATCGAAAAATACGTACAAAAAGATCTAAAACGGTCATTTATTTAATTAATGATTGATAAAGCAAAATGACATTTAAAAAGAATAGGAGGGAGTATTTTATTTCTGGTCATCTTTCTTAGATTGAAGATATTTACTTCCTCATAGTCTCACTATTTTTAATTTTTAATTTTTTTTTTCTTTGGGGATCCTCTTAAAGCTATACAAGGAACTCACCTGCCCTCTGGACAACTTCGAGCTCCTCCTCTTTTCAGTCCCTGGCCCGGACGGTAAATCTTTCCCTTTCTGCCCTTACTGCTACAATGACCCCCCTTTCGAGGGGTCCGTGGGCCCCACCACAGGCAAGGGGGTTGGTGGCATGGCGTGCTGTCTCTGCCCTCACCCGACGTGCCCTCACTCCGTTGCGTCCCAGGGAGTGTGTGCCTGCCCCGAGTGTGGTGGGGGCACGCTGGTGCTCGACCCGGTCAGTGCCCCCAGGTGGCGGCTCAGCTGCAATACGTGTGCCTGCTTAGTTTACCTGCCCGAGGGGGCCCACAGGATCTCGATGACTGGGGAGCGCTGCCCGGAATGCGACTCGGGCGTCATAGAGGTGGACTTCAATAAGAAGAGCACGCCGTTGAAGGACGGGGCTACGCTGCACGTGGGCTGCATACTTTGTGATGAGCTGCTGCATTCGCTGGTGGAGATGAGG